TTTTTTATATAGGAGCCCCCCCCCCCCCCCCCCCCACCTACCTTCCCCTAAAGTTTGGCACGTTACTTCTGGGACACCCTGTATATGTATGTAAATTTATGTGGCCTTTGCGAAGCGGTAATAAGAAATTGAGCGTCAAAATTATGTGCTAGACTTTTATAAAAAAATATAAACATTTAATAAAAATAACCAAAACTTGTCAAAATGTCACTTAATTTAATCAGCTGACCACAAGGGTATGTGCCCATAATTTAAAAATCTGTTGCCTGTGTCTGAATGCATCTTCAATTGCGCCCCGAATCGACCCATTTCAGAGCTTCGCCAACCGTCGAATGAATGCTATATGTTGAGCATTATCTGTTAAAATACTTAACAAAATATGTACCAGGCGTCTATTTATTCTACATAAACGTAGAAAATCTTTTGGTTTTGTAAACTATATGAAATTTTAAGGCCTAATGACTGGAACAAAGCAAATCTAAATTTGAATTTCTGTAAAAAACTTAAACAATAGAGGAAGTACATATCGCAAATTGAATAATAAAGAAAAATTATTTCAAAATTTTAATTTTTTGCGAGTTTAGTTATTTGGTACATTGAGCATAATCTGCTTACCAGGCTTATTAATTGAGCCATTTCTTTTGAAAGTGACATACATATTTTATGCCATTTGTCTTCAGTGATTATTTCCTGTAGCTGAACGCATCTGTTATTCGGTCAATTTCATCAGCCAAAGCTAAAAAGTTTTGTCATTAGCAGGGAACGGATTTTATGGAAAATGATTTTTTCTGCTAAAGAGATAGAGTATATCGACTGCTGAGTGGATATTCGACCTATCTCGGTAGCCAGTTCGAAAACGCCCTATCTCAAAAAACTTCAAAAACGTCCTATTTTAGAATTTGGTTGAAGAACGCCCTATTTAAGAATTCATTTCGAAAACGCCCTATAGCAACACATTTTCAATCCTTCAGTAATGAAGTGAGATAGGGCATTTTTGATTCGTATCCTGAAATAGGGCGTTCTTCAACCAAATTCTCAGATAGAGTGTTTTTCATTAAAACTCGGAAATCGGGCGTTCTTCAAAACTGCTAAGAATGAAAATGGTGCCAGAAAACTTCAAAATGCCTTTTGTGGTTCAGGGGTTCTCAAACTTTTAAGATGATAGAACCCTTACTAAATACCTTTCATTTTATGGAACCCACATCAAACTACTAAAAATCAAAGACAGAACAATTTAAACATGAATGAAAACTTTTAATAGAAATAGTCATACTTTAAATTTTAATGTGAAGAATGAAACTGTTTCACTGTTATTAATTATTGTATAAAATAATGTCTGAAAGCTGTATGCACATTTCTGGAGTAGCAGCCAATTTCAACATGAATTTGTTTTTTGTATAACTGTAAGCTGATACCCCTTTTGACAGAGTACGTTGTGACAGAAGGAAGCAAAGTTAAGATGGGCTTTTTAGCGACTTCATGATATCGATGGTCCTCTGCAATAACGGCACAACTCAACATTTTTTATATTTCGGTAGAGCAAATTAAAGATTTTGTGTTTCGTAATGCAGCAATAATATGTCTTGGAACGTAATTATTCCGGATTATTTGCAGTCATTCTATAGGGGAAGTTATTCCCATTAAAAAATGACTAAGTGTCCTCCTGAAACTATGAAATGAACAACGGTATGATACGAAAAGTGTCGTTGTTTCACATAAAAGCATGACTAGCCTATCGAGAGTTTTTGACTTCACGATAAATGTGGGAAGTGTACCACTGTTCAATAGTAAGGGTTGGCTACTTCGGTTTTGTGACAAATGGCAAAACTGCGCCTCTGCCGGATTGGTAACAACTAAGCCTATGCTGTTTTGCCACAGAAAAATATGGTTATTTATAAACATAATCCTCTATATAACTCAAAAACATGAAATTTTAAGTTGTGCCGTTATTGCAGAGGACTATCGATATTTACTCTTAACACTAACTCAAAACTCTTTCAGAGACTCAGATTCAAATGTGTGTTTTAATGTCGAAGTACTCTGGAGATCTATGAATGCTTCGTAGATGGATTTTGTACCAAACCTATATTAGGTACTACTACCATCCGAAAAATAATCTGACAAAGATTTCAGGTGATTTACAAAGTACCCAGTTATGACATTTCACATTTCATTTGGCAATTCATTGCGTTCCTTATAGAAAGTTGGCTACAGGGGTTAAATACACATATGTAATAATTATAATAGATTGGCGCTTACAACATTTTAAAATCATATAAAATTGAGAGTAAAAAGGAATTGTTCAAAGTTGTTGTTTGAGATTGAAAATGATGATTGAAATATTACCCAGTTGTTTATTTAACCCTTTTTAATAATGATTTTTTATTGGTCGCCCCATTGCATTTTTCGGGTTTTTGTAGGTTTTGGCGGACCTATAAATTATAGTTGCGATGAAAAAATGGTTAAATAAACAATTGGGTATTATTATTGGGAATCTCCTGCAGATAAACAGAGTTTTCTGGTAGAAAAATATTGATTTTTAACTATTCTTTACCATTTCTAAGAAAAGTTGATTTTTCATATAAAATGTATGGAAAACTTTGGGCGCTTTGAGCGACCTCTAAATATTTTTTTATTTAAAAAATAAAAAATAAGGGTATACTTTTTTCGGTATAGAACAATCCTAGGGGGTGAGAGCATAAAAATTCCGACTTTACTTTTTCCACATGCAATTTTGGGCCACCCTAATGTACATACATATGTATTTTTTTACTATTGACGTTTTTGTGGCAAACGAGCGATATATTCTTCAAGCAATACAAATATTAAAACATTTGAACCCGACATAGTATTAAACATATTTTGGTAGAGTTTCACGTTTGAGCCTCTCAATGGCTATTAAACACAAGCATTATTCATAAGGACATTGGAAAATTGTAATACTTACTTTTTACCTAGTCCCATGAGACCATATATCACACCAGTGCCAAATACAAGACCACATGCGAAAATACTACCCAGTCCTGGGCATAAAATTATTGGCGGTATAGCGATCCTGCACAAATAAATTATGAGTAAAACAATTGATTTTTCATAAACATATGCACCTATCTATATATGAGCCATTCTTTTTTAAGTCGGACAGATTTTGTAAAAAAATTATATCATGTCTCCGATTCGCTTCAAATTTTTTCTATACATGAAATAAGCTAACAATTATTCGAGGAAACTTTTTTTAAATTTTTTTCTTCGGAGATATGATCTGTCAAAGTTTGTATTTTTTCGTGATTCTGACTAATATTGCACTTCTTCAAATCGTTATATCTCAGGTTCTGCTCATCGTAGAGACTTTATCTTAACTTCGTTTTAAACGTGCTTAACATTTCTATTTATATATAAGACGTTCATGATTGTCCTAAAGCTAACTTAGCTACTAACAGTTGAACTTTTTGAAGTTGATTTGCATAGTGAAACCAGTAAAGAAGGGATTTAAAATTACACCATAGTAATCCTTGTTTAATTCTCCATAAAAAACATGGTTAAAAAATTGGCATTTTTCAAGAACTATTTTTAAAATATTGTTTTTTTATGACAAGATGGTTTATTTTGTGAGAGTCAACAATGTTTTGTATCTAACTTGTTTTCGTAAACCTATGATGAGGTATTCTATCGGAATCCACAATAAAATTTAAATGTTTGCAAAAACCCGATTTTTAACACTTTTTTAAATATATATATGTATCTCATCATAAGTTTTCGAAAACAAATTACAAAAAATTATTTATTCTCATAAAATAAACAATCTTGTCATACATAAAACACAATATTTCAAAAATAGTTCTTGAAAAATGACAATTTTTTTTTACCATTTTCTTAAAGCGAATTAAAAAAGGATTGCGATGGTGTAATTTTAGATCCCTAACTTACTGGGCAAATCAACATCAAAAAGTTCAACTGTTAATAGCTAATTTAGCTTTAGGACAATCATGAGCATCTTACATATAGAAATTTTAAGCCCGTTTCTTTAGCTTTAAAACGACGTTAAGATGAAGTCTCTACGACGATCAGAACCCGAGATATAAGGATTTGAAAAAATTCAAACTTTGACAGATCATATCTCCGAAGAAAAAAATTAGAAAGAAATTTCCTCGAATACGTGTTAACTCACTTCATGTATGGAACCCCCAAAAAAAAAACAATTTGAAGTGATTCGAAAGTGTGACACCAAATTTGGTAACCGATATGAAAAAGAAGGCCTCATATGTATGTATGTAAATTTACTTACACGCAGTAGAAGGCAGCCCGATTCCATAATGGGCGTTGTTCTACTTGAGTAGCCACATCGTTTACATAGTCTATGCAAAAGAAGCAACATGGCGCTTCCAGTGCCATCACTATAAAACCAACCACCATTTGTATGATACCTGAGATTAGGCAGGAAACATTGAGCAGCAGAATACCGATGATGTTCCACAGTCCAAAAAGTATACAGACTATAAAATATAAAGTTAATAGATTTATGTATTAAGCGAATATAATTATGTAATAATACATATTGTATGTATGAATGTGCATTTAATAGCTTCACACTTTATACAGTGATACGAAATGGAGGTTTATTTCTTCGTATTTGATGAAACCGAAAGTATATTAAAGCTTACACCCCATCTGTGTTTTTTTTTATTATACATATGTATTGAAATTAAAATACATATTTAAAGATAGTGATTTTTTAAATACCCTGTATACAGGAAAAATAGAGTAGCGATCAGCGGAGCCAACTCGTGGGGAATTCCCCGATTTGCTGGGCTGGCAGCCGTCCCGCTCCCGCCGCCGGCTTCCCTGGTAGCCATGCTTTTTAACGAACTTCTTGTTTGAGTGCACTGACTGTACACGGTGTGCCTGAACCAGCCGTAAATGAAAGGTTCTTGCATATGGGTTTTTTACCTGATTCTGTTAGCCGATGAAATTACAAACTGTTTGAATTCAAAGTCAAATAAAATCGAACGGGCCCTTTTCGAAACAAACCCAATTTTTCTTTATTATATCTAATATATAAAAATCTCGTGTCACGGTGTTAGTGGTCGAACTCCTCCTAAACGGCTCGATCGATCTTTATGAAATTTTTTGTGTATATATGGTAAGTACGAGAATCGGATGTGAAGTATATTTCATTATGAAATTTTCATACCGCTTGGTGCAGGGGGCGTGGCACCTCCCATACAAACCGAATTTTTCATATTGCATATCTCTGGAAGTGTTCATGGTAGAGTACACGAGCATGGTATGGAGATATATGAAAACAGTCGCATACTACTAGAGAAAATTGGGGCTATTTGAAAAGGGGACGTGGCGCCTTTCAAACGCACTGAAACTATTACGTATCTTTGTATGCATATACACTTTTGCTGGGTTATTTAAGTCGGCAATGGAAATATGCCCTTTGACAACCACCAAACCGTAATATTAGAAGATAAATGCGTCACTGAAAATCATGAACGTGAGCTGTTTAACCAAAATGTTTCAATACAAAAAATGTATTTTGGGCGGGACGAAGTTCGCCGGGTCTGCTAGTTAATTTATGTTATTAGATAGGCTGACAAAAATGGAAAAATTTGGTGCGGCAAATGTTTAAATTGTTTTTGATAGACTTTTTGGTGCTGATTAAGAATCAATTCGCCAGTAAAAAGTTTCCATTAGCTCCTGATTTTGAGAAAAATGAGGTCAAAGTGTAAAAAAATTGCGTTTTTTTGAATATTTGAGAAGCTGATATAAGGTGACAGAACCTCCCACTTAGGCTTAAATTTAAGCTTAAGCTCTAGGCCTTAATTTAAGCCCAAGTGGAAGGTTCTATCTCCTTTTGTTTAACTGCGGTAGGTACTCAAACTTCGCCAAAATCAGTTTTTGCTCTTCTTTAAATGACTATAAGTGACCATCAGGTCAAGGTGCAGGGATGGTCTTTTCAGGGATAGTAGTCGAGAGTTCTAGCTTTAATTTAAGCCTAAGTGGAAGGTTCTATAACCTTTTGTTTCTTTTATAGAGCTTCTTAAATATTGCAAAGAACGCGATTTTTTGACACTTTGACCTCATTTTTCTCAAAATCAGGAGCTTATGGAAACTTTTTACTTGCGGATTCTTAATCAGCACCAAAAAGTTTATCAAAAACAATTTTAACATTTGCCGCACCAATTTTTTTTTTTCATTTTCAATAATATATGGGTGAGGCTTCTTCAAGTGGGCACCGAATTTACCAACATTAATATTTTCCAATGATATTCAGGCAGCGCCGAGTTTTGTAGTCGAACAGTACACTGTGTAATTTTTGTTGTAAAATTCCAAATAGTTTTTTTTTAATCAACAATTGAACATTTTAGCAGTGTTTTGGAAATTCTTATTTTTCTTTGAAAGTAAGTGTCCGACTGAAAAAATTTTTTGGTGCAGATTTAAGAAACATCAAACNATTTTTAAGAGATAAATTAAATAACGCTGTTAACGGCTCATAGAGATAATCAGAACAATTTATAAGAATACAAGTGAGGACCTGACCAGATACCATAACTGAAGGACTGCTTTAAGGATTTGAGATAAACTACTACATCATCGGGANTGCAGATTTAAGAAACATCAAACGATACAATGAAATTATTTGCGTTACAAAAATTTTTTTTTGTTTTGCTTTTCAATCAATTTTTTATGAAAAATTTTATTTTTTAGCAATTTCTGCGCCTCGTGGACGAAAATTTTGAACAACTACTTATGTAATAAACATTTCTGCATTTATCTATGAAAAAAATGNGGACCTGACCAGATACCATAACTGAAGGACTGCTTTAAGGATTTGAGATAAACTACTACATCATCGGGAGATATTACTGGGATATTTATTGAGTTCATTGGACATAGTTTAAAAGGATAGTCAATGTTAGCATGTGAGTTAATGGAATAATTGGATTTAAAAAACTTTATTTAAAATTAATATTTTTTTATAAATGTCTAGCTCAGTATACATATAACACCGCGNTGTTTTGACTTCTTGCGCAAGAAAGAAATGCACGTTTCAATCGTTTCACTTTTGTTTCTCATGCTCGAATTTCGCATGTATGTAAATTAATATAACTAAGAAGAAGTGGGTTTTTTCGAAAAGGGCCCGTTCGATTATTCATTTCATTAACGGCTGGTTCAGGCAAGCCGTGTGTGTTAGTAATGTTAAATGTCCCGGGAGCCCGGACTTTTTAAGGTCTCGAAAATCCCGGGATTCTTAGCAAGTAATCCCGGAATTTTCGGGATTTGTATTTGCACTGGTGGCAATAATATAAACTCCTATTCTTGACCAGTATTGGCTATATTTCTTTTTTTTTTATAATAATATCCCAACGGTTTTTACCCTCCATTCCCGCCCATCCGCACGAGGGGCGCAGTCTGCATGACGTACGGAACCAGTATTTTCAATTTTTGCGCCGAGTCACGATAGGCAGGAGTTTGTTAAGTGTCGAGATCTAAAACTGTTCAGCTACAGAACTAAATTCATCAGCCGATTTTATGTCTTTATTTTAATGACTCATCTATTGAGAGAGGACAGTATCGATTTCTTAATGCTGAAAAGCGGATCTGCTATATCAAACGTGCTGGAATGAGAGTTAAAATCCTGGCATAAGCAACGGAGTGGGTCGTGCAATTCAAAATTAGTTTTACAAGCTTTCAGAAATAGGGGGCAAAAGTGTCTTGATACCCGGGAGGGAACATTAGGGCAAACTTCGCCAAGAAGAAGCGGACTTGAAATTGAGCCTGTTAGTAATTTANAGTTTTTCACTCTGACGTCAGTAATGATTTAAAAAATTCAGAGAAATGTGCTCAGAGAAGAAGTATGGGTATAAAATTAATGAGGAAATTCTGTAGAATTTAAGCANTTTTAAGAGATAAATTAAATAACGCTGTTAACGGCTCATAGAGATAATCAGAACAATTTATAAGAATACAAGTGAGGACCTGACCAGATACCATAACTGAAGGACTGCTTTAAGGATTTGAGATAAACTACTACATCATCGGGAGATATTACTGGGATATTTATTGAGTTCATTGGACATAGTTTAAAAGGATAGTCAATGTTAGCATGTGAGTTAATGGAATAATTGGATTTAAAAAACTTTATTTAAAATTAATATTTTTTTATAAATGTCTAGCTCAGTATACATATAACACCGCGCGATAGTAAATTTTAAACACAAATATCAATATATTCGCGAAACCATGGGCCAAATATAGTAAAATTGCGTTTTAGTTTTTCACTCTGACGTCAGTAATGATTTAAAAAATTCAGAGAAATGTGCTCAGAGAAGAAGTATGGGTATAAAATTAATGAGGAAATTCTGTAGAACTTAAGCAAGTTCAAGTTTCTAGTGCAGAAGGGCTGGTAAATATTGAAAATGAAATTTTAAAATTTTATCCTTGAAATTTCGCAATATTTGTTTTTGAAAAAAATATATGTTAAGGGCTTGTATTCACCCGATAACATCCTCGAATTTCGTTCTTCTAATTTTGTCAGCTTAAAAATTACCTATTCGTCCTTGTGAATCCAAAAAATTTAAAATTCTAAAGAAATTTCCTATTGCATTTGTTACCCATTTTTTTTATTCTACATTGCATTGAATTTTTCAATAATTTTTGGAATTAATCATATCTTTGAAATTACAAAGTCCTCCAAAATAAATCCTGCGGTCAGAGAGAAAAAATAAAACCGCCACTTTAAATAAAAAAGTAGGTTTCAAACCTATTTATTTATTATTTATTTCATGGTAGGAGAGCTTCTCAAACAATATAGAAACAATCCCGAAAATCCCGGGATCGGAAAAAGCCGAAAAATTAACATCCCTAGTGTGTATATAGCGTTCTTGCGTGGATTCGCGGTGTTTTGTTTTCCATTTCGTGAAAAAATTACCGGTCTTCATCAATAAAATGTGATTGCATTAAATAACTGACGTTTTTTAAATGCGTCCAATAAAAGTAACTTTTCGATACTTGCAACCAGCCCTGGGAATATTTGGTTGCGTTTTGAGAGTTTCCACTGTACTTTTAGATTAATCAGCCGCTGTGGTTAAGTGGTTAGAGGTGCGTACCAGGGTTGTTGCGAATATTCGCATTAGCATCGCAACCGCGGAGCTTCCGCATTAATTTTAACATTCGCATTCGCAATAATCAATGCGGAGCTTTTGCGCAAGTGCACTGATAAAATGTATATCTGGCAAACAAAATGACAAATTGTAGCCAGTATTTTTTGGCTGTCGCCCCTCTTTTGTAATTTAAAGTCAAATAGGCATTTCCAGCGGAAATGTTCAACGTTTAGCTATAAATAGAATGGACTATTTGCGCGTTAAAAGACAGCCTGTAATTAGGTAAGAATTATGTAACTATCGAATATTATTTGCCAAAGGTCTGTTGAAAAAACTGGACGAATCGCTAGGGGTGAGTAATTAATTGTGACTGCCTGCAACTAGGAAAAGTTGAACTCAGCTAATTA